CGGCCACGTTAGGACCTACAGAGATGATAGAATCAAATAATTTCAGAAGAGGAAGGGGCCCGAGGGAATTTTTAGAAAAGAAAAGCAGCCCTTAGTCTTCCCAGATTAGACTGCATGTGACAATGGGGAGAGGTAATTTGAATTTTGAAGAATGATGCCCACTAAGGAAATCTGCTTTTACCAGGGATCTGATCTCAATCCAGGCAAGTCAACACTGATAGCTGGAGGTGGCACAGGGCTGGAGAATCCTACTGAGCTAGACTGAGAGAAAAGCAGGAGCACTTAGATGGAGGTAAAACAGCAAGGCCTGGTAAGAAAAAAAATAACAACAATCCAGCACCCTTAGAAGATGCCATGACATTTTAGAAGGTAAATTGATTAGTCCAGGTAACAATTTAGGGTACAGAATGCAACTATTGATTAAATTCCTTAAGCAATCACTTAAAATCACTCATAATGCCTTTTCTGTCTTGTTTAACATGCTTTTATGGAAATGAGAGAAGAGAGCACAATTCCAGGAACATGATGAAGTCCGAAACTTATTAACATCACTGCTGTCAAGTGTGTGAGGGAGACTGCGGTTTAGATTGTAAAAGATATTGTGAATAACTTTGTTCAGATTAAAGAAGTGGAAGTTATCATTTTTAGTGAATTAGTTAATTTGTATACATAAAAGCTTAGGACAATACCTGGCACATCATAAGTACTAATAAGTACTATGTGTTAGTTGCTGATACTACTGTGCTGCTATTGTTATTAATTATTAGGATTTTCAGAACTAGAACTCATATAGTCTTTAAGCAGAAAACATGTATCAAAGTCCACACAAAATTTTTATTTATAGTCCTCAGCTTAGAAAATATCAGGTGGAGGCTGGGCGCAGTGGCTCACGCCTATAATCCCAGCACTTTGGGAGGCCGAGGCAGGTGGATCATGAGGTCAAGAGATTGAGACCATCCTGGTCAACAAGATGAAACCCCGTCTCTACTAAAAATACAAAAATTAGCTGGGCATGGTGGTGCGTGCCTGTAGTCCCAGGTACTCGGGAGGCTGAGGCAGAAGAATTGCTTGAACCCAGGAGGCAGAGGTTGCAGTGAGCCGAGATCGTGCCATTGCACTCCAGTCTGGGTAACAAGAGCGAAACTCCGTCTCAAAAAAAAAAAAGAAAATATCAGGTGAAGTTTTTCTTTAAGATGCTTAATTTTGGCTGGGCTGGGTGCGGTGGCTCATGCCTGTAATCCCAGCACTTTGGGAGGCCGAGCCAGATGGATCACCAGGTCAAGAGATCAAGACCATCCTGGCCAATATGATAAAACCCTGTATCTACTGAAAAAACAGAAAAATTAGCTGGGCATGTCAGCAAGTGCCTGAAGTCCTAGCTACTTGGGAGGCTATGGCAGGAGAATTGCTTGAACTTGGGAGGCAGAGGCTGCAGTGAGCCAAGATGTCACCACTGCATTCCAGCCTGGGCAACAGAGCGAGACTCCATCTCAAAAAAAAAAAAAAAAGAGAAAGAAAAGATGTTTAATTCTTGGAAATTCCCTCTGTCCTGGTTGGAAAACTGCTTTTCTGCTTTTCCGTTGGGTCTGATCAGGATGGAAGAGAAGCTACCAACTCAGAGCCCAGGGCAGGGCCTTTGCCACCGGGCATTATTTGAAGTAACCCTTCAAATTTTATGTGAAGTGGGATTCAAGTATTATAATCAAATTGTATGTGCTTGTTTTAAACTTAAGGCCCATAAGTATCAGCTTCTTTGGGGAATAGTCAGGTAATTGAAGAGTGAGAAGGTGACCCCTGGCCCAGGAAGGAGATAGTCCCAGATACTCTCTCAATCTCTTCTTCAAACTCAAAACAGGTCAGGCACAGTGGCTCATGCTTGTAGTCCCAGCACTTTGGAAGGCCAAGGTGGGTGGATCACTTGAGGTCGGGAGTTCGAGACCAGCCTGGCCAACATAGTGAAACCCCACCCCATCTCTACTAAAAACACAAAAATTAGCTGGGTGTGATAGTGCATGCCTGTAATCCCAGCTGCTTGGGAAGCTGAGACAGGAGAATCACTTGAACCCAGGACATGGAGTTTGCTGTGAGCTGAGATTACTTCACTATACTCCAGCCTGGGTGACAGAGCAAGACTCTGTCAGGAAAGAAAGAAAGAAAAGAAGGAAAGAAAGAAAAATAAAGAAAAAAAGAAACTAAAAACAACCATTTGACCCAGAAATCCCATTATTGGGTATATACCCAAAGGAATATAAATAAATCATTCTACCATAAAGACACATGCACACGTTTGTTCATTGTAGCGCTATTCATAATAGCAAAGACATAGAACCTAAATATCAATCAATGATGGATTGGATAAAGGCAATGTAGTACAAATACATCATGGAATACCATGCAGCCATAAAAAAGAATGAGATCGTGTCCTTTGCAGGAATATGGATGGAGCTGGAGGCCATTATCCTTAGCAAACTAACGCAAGAGCAGAAAGCCAAATACCACATGTTCTCACTTATAAATGGGAACTAAACGATGAGAACTCGTGGACACAAAGAAGGAAACAACACACACTGGGGCCTACTTGAGGGTAGAGGTGGGGTGGAGGGAGAGGATCAGGAAAAATAACTTTTGGGTAGTAAACGTAGGACCTGGGCAACAAAATAATCTGCATACCAAACCCCCATGGCCCAAGATTACCCGTGTAACAAACCTGCTCATATATCCTGAGCCTAAAAAGTTAAAAAAAAAAAAAAAAAAGACTTTTCTTCCCCTGCCATCCCAACCCAATCCTCCCCACCACACATCTCGGCATCTCACAGCTTCCAAGGTAGAACTCAAATTCTCTTGTCATAACTCTGCTGACTCTGTTGCTGTTCCTGGAGCACCCTCTTTTCGAAACTCTGGTAAGACTAGTGGGCCTATGCCACAAAGTTTATTGCTATTAGTTAGCATTTTATTGATAGGACATGAAAAGAGTTCACAGCAATGCCAGAATTATTACTCAATACAGTTTGTGCTTTGCCTGTTGTATCTCATGTGATCTCACAGTACGAATTGTATCTCCATTTTGCAAATAAGTGAATGGATGCACAGAGAGGCCAAGCACCTGTGTGAGCCCAGCCCGCCTGGCTCTGGACCTGAGACTCCTAATTTCATTCCATGTCTGCTTCTTCCTTCGCTGTTTTAGTGTTTGCTGTTTCCCCACATATGTTAGCCTTGTTTTCTCAGTGGGTGAGAAACTCTTCAGAGCACTGGCTTTCAGATTCGGTTATGTGTGTGTATTCCTAGGCCCCTGGCATTAAGAACTTATCTGAGGACTAACATTCTGTCTCTCCCGGGTGGAGTCAGGAGCGGGGGCTCCTAATCGGATGACTGCTATGGTTGGTTGAATGCTGCAAGCTGAAATGTTTCTGAAAATGAACTCTCTCCTGGACCATCTCCAGTTCTTGCTGTAGTAGTAGCCGCTGTCCTTCCTTCATGCTAGGCAGAGGGTTTTCTGTTGTGCAAGCAGCAGCCTCACTTCTTCCCTGCCAGTGAGTGCCAGGGAAAACTTTTGGTTTTTTAGCAAGAACAAGCAGGAACAAGTTGGTATTGGCAGAGAAGGCCTAGATAAATCCAAAAGGTATTCTTTGCCCCCAATCGACCCCAGTTTCTTGGCCACTCGCGACACCCTGCAGGGGGCCCCTGGCTGACTTCGCACCTGGACCTGTGCTCCTTGATGAAAATGTGCCCAGCCCTTGGCCCTTTGTCCCCTTTTCTTAAGGCTGCACTAACTACTGATCTGATCAACAAAATCAGGTTTATTGTCATCCCTTCCGGTGACATATTTGCATTTTAAAAGGAGATAATTCTTTAAGTGTTTTGCAAGAAGGCAAAGGAGGAGCAAAGTACACCCTGTGTGGGAGGTGGAGGCTGCTGTAGAAAGGACTCTAGAGTCTGGGTAACCCCGGAATCAAATTCTGACCTTACCCCTCACCAGCCATGTGACCTGGGCAGCTCCTCCAGGCCCTAGTTTCTTGTCTACAAAATGGCACAGTGCCTGGCACTATATATACATACATAATATAAAATGCTATCCAGGCCAGTTGTAGCCCTCCAATGAGCATTCCTTTAAAATCTCCTCCTCCCAGGTTATCTCCTTTGACACCCACAGGGAAGGCTGATCTGGACTCATCTGTCTGGATGTTGTTATCAAACTAAAAACACAGTGATTTTTATATCTTGTGAGTACAAAAATCGGAAACCATTAATTTTAACCATAATTAATTTTTAAATGTTCTCAGCTTAGGGTTTGTAAAAACATTTCAAAATTGTGAAATATAGCACAATTTAGCAAACAATTATAAAAGTGTCACTCATGTAACCACCACCCTGGGCAAGGATTGGTAGGAACTGCCTTAAAGTAGTGTAGCTACGTAACACAGTGTTTCTCCACTGGGGGCAGTTTTGGCTGTCACATCAGGAGAGGTATTGGCATCTAGTGCGTAGAGGCCGGGGATGCTGCTAAACGCTCTACAATGCACAGGGCACCTCCCCACAACAAAGAATTATCCAGCCCCAAGTGTCAATCCTGCCCAAATTCAGAAACACAGTGCTTCAGCAGGAGATGAAATTTTAAGGAAAGATTTGGATGTTCAAGAAACTGGCTATTGTCAAAACTTAGATTTACATGACACATTTTTAGTAATGCTGTCCCACTCAACTAATTGTTCTCTGAAAGAGAAAAAGAAAGGCGAGCCAGAATTTCAGATGAAGGATCTGAAGGTAATAGACATTGCTGATCACATCAATGAGTTTGTATTCTCTCATTGCTGCCAAGTGCTTTTAATCTCCTCTGTCACTTTGCACTAATCTTGGGAATCAAATACTGTAAAAGTGAGTTGAAGCCAGACATGTTCCATTTGACTATTAATTAAATTGCAAATAAATTAAATGCTATATTCTTCCCAACAATGTGTTCCAGCCCCCTTTGCACTTGTGACTCTGTCTTTGATTTATTGCAGGATATAGTCGTTCGTGTTGTTTTTACTCTTGGCAACCTGACCGCGAAAAATAACCAGGCTCGTGAACAATTTTCCAAAGAGAAAGGGAGCATCCAAACTCTGCTGTCATTATTCCAGACTTTCCATCAGCTCGATCTGCATTCCCAGAAGCCGGTGGGCCAAGGAGGCGAGGCGTACAGGGTGCAGAGGCTGCCGTCAGAGGCAGAGGACGTGCTCATCAAGCTGACCCGCGTGCTCGCCAACATTGCCATCCACCCCGGCATGGGCCCGGTGCTGGCCACCAACCCAGGAATAGTGGGTCTGCTCCTGACCACGCTGGGTGAGAACCGTGGCCCTTGGCTGCAGCAGGCACAGCTGCCTTTCCCGCAGCCCAAAGACAGTTCTGTGGCTGGGGTGTGATGAGGATTTTATTAGCACAAGTGGCTCCCTACGAAAAAGGCTTAGCTGTGTGAAGGAAATTTCCTCTTCTGTTCAGAACTGCCTTAAAAAGTAATCCAGATTTTTAAAAAAGGAAAAGAAAACATAGTAATAGAGATTATTATTAAAACCCACCAAATTGTACACTTTAAAAGGGCGAATTTTATGGTTTGTGAATTACATTGAAATTTTTAAAAATTATACTTAGCAAATGACCAAATTTTGGCTAAACTAACCACAAAGAGTTTAAAATTCCAAATATTTGAGTTTAGAATCCCAAATCCCAAATATTGTGGGCAATCCACATGATTAAAATTAATTCCTGGCCGGGCGCGGTGGCTCAAGCCTGTAATCCCAGCACTTTGAGAGGCCGAGGTGGGTGGTTCACGAGGTCAAGAGATCAAGACCATCCTGGTCAACATGGTAAAACCCCGTCTCTACTAAAAATACAAAAAATTAGCTGGGCATGGTGGCGCATGCCTGTAATCCCATCTTCTCAAGAGGCTGAGGCAGGAGAATTGCTTGAACCCAGGAGGCAGAGGTTGCGGTGAGCCGAGATTGCGCCATTGCACTCCAGCCTTGGTAACAAGAGTGTTCTCTGTCTCGAAAAAAAGAAAAAAAAATTAATTCCTTTTTTTTCCTCTTCAGGTTCTTACATAATTTGTAATTTTAGTCCCCAGTATTCAAGTCCTATTCATTCCCTTTGCATTAGCTCAGCTTGCCATAACAAAATGCCATAGACTGGGCAACTTTGTCAGAAATGTATTTCTCATGCTTCTGGAGGCTGAGAAGTTCAAGATCAAGGTGCCAGATGGTTCAGTTCCTGGCTTGCAGACAGCCACCTACTCACTGTGTGCTCACATGGCTGTCCTTGGTACAAGCATTTATGGGGTAGGGGACAGTCTCTTCCCCCTTCCTCTTTTTATAAAGTCACCAATCCTATCATATTAGCACCCTACTCTTATGGGCTCTGTAACCTGCTATATCTCTTCAAAGCCCTATCTCCAAATATAAGCATATTGGGAGTAGGCCATCAACATATGACTTTTGTGGGGTACACAATTCAGTCCATGGTATCTCCTACACTTTTTAGGCCTGTCATCTCCCACAGGCATTTCTGCCTACTCGTGTGTAGGGAGATTAACTGCAACCCAGGGTAATCAATTTAGCTACTACTAGCCAGGCCTGGTGGCTCATGCCTGTAATCCCAGCACTTTGGGAGACTGAGGTGGGTGGATCACAAGGTCAGGAGTTTGAGACCAGTCTGGCCAACATGGTGAAACCCTTTTCTCTACTAAAATAGAAAAATTAGTGGGGCATGGTGGCATGCACTTGTAATCCCAGCTACTCGGGAGGCTAAGGCAGGAGAATTGCTGGAACCCAGGAGGTGGAGGCTGTAGTGGGCTGAGATTGTGCCACCGCACTCCAGCCTGGGCAACACAGTGAGACTCTCTCTCAAAAAAAGATTAGCTACTACTAACCAGACTTGTGAAAAATGTTGTTGTTTTGGAAGGAAGTTTAATGCCTGACGAGAATGTTGTTTTGGAGGAGTAATCTGTGAACTCCCCCTCGCCTACACTATTCAACTCAAGAGCCATTTTCTGAGCTCTTTCTAGGTAATCAGTTCTGTGCTATACATTCAGTTTCGTTTAGTCTGCTCAGGCTGCCATAACAAAATCCTATAAACTGGGCAGCTTCAACAACAGATATGTATTTTCCCACAGTTCTGGAGACTGGAAGTCCCAGATGCCAGCAGGGTCAGGGTCTGGTGCGGGCTCCCTTCCTGGGCTGTGGTTAACTGTCCTCTCACTGGGTCCTCACATGCTGAAGAGAGCACACTCTAGGGTCCCTTCCCCTTCCAGCTCTGCCGGATGAGGGCCCACCCTCCTGACCTCATTTAACCTTTATCATTTCCCCACAGGACCTATCTCCAAATACATTGAAGGGATAGGGCTTTTACATATGAATTCGTGGGGGTGAGGATACCAACATTCAGTTTAGAAGAAGGTTTTAAAAATGGAGGCAGGTATATGCCTTCGAGGAATTTGGCATATATGGTGGAGGGACATTGGGTGCACAGAGAAGAAACCCCAGTTACTGAGAAGGGCAGAAGCAAGGCACACGTGGCTACGGGACAGGAGGCAGACCCGGCTGCGGGCATGTGAGTGACCAGGCCGTGCTTCACTATGGAGCTTTACGCTTGAAAAGTGCATTTTCATATCTGTTACCTCACAACAACGTAAGGGTACGTGCTTATTTTCATCATTTTCACAGATGAGGAAACAGGCTCAGAGAGATATAGTGACTTTCACAGGTCACAAAGTTAGCACGTGGCAGAGTCACCAGGCCCCTACCCATGCTTCTCCACACCCCACCTCACATGTCACCTGTCTCGAGAAAGGACTCTTCCATTCTGACTGAGAACTGCACCCCCTGACTTACCACTTCCATGTAAATAACGCAAAACTCTCTGTGTTCAGGCCTGAGAGTTCTTCCAAGCTGCTGACTGCACATCAGGCCATGTGGAAGAATACGCACGTAGCTGTGAGACAAATTCAGTTTCTGTTCCAACCTCAAAGCATTCAGCATTTGCTCTGTAGCATGCCCACATCTGCTGAAACTCTTTCCCCTTCCTGAGATCCACTCACCACACTAAGCAGGGCTTCTCAGCCCAGAGCCAGGGATGTGGCTGCTGCGGAATCAGCTGTGGGACTCATTAAAATACCCTTTTTGGTTTCTGGCCCCTGCCCAGAAGCTGCCTCTATAAAATGCCATTAGAAATCTGAAATCTGCCTTTTCATGCCTCCTCTGCCCCCAGGTGAGTCTTCTGCACATTTAAGTGTTGAGACCCAGTGCTTCAGGAAACCACATTAGCTTTTCTGCCTCCTCAGGATCTAGTAGAAACCTGAAACCCACTGGGTGAGTTCTCACCTGATATAGACTTAATCTCTTTACCCGACTGTGGCTGAAGGGCTTCAGGACCAACCTCAAACACCTGGGCTAGGGCACATGGCTGTGAACAGCCAAGGAGAGTCATGCATGATTCATTTTCCACAATTGTTAATATTCACATATAAAGTGGAAAAACTCCTCATCTGATACATATTTTATGAGCTTAGAAATTACATTTCTACCTATAAAGGAAGAATGAATAACTTGCTTTTGACTCAAAAGAAGTGATGCTTTAGGGTAGGAGAAAGAGGCAAGAGGCCGGGCTCAGTGGCTCACACCTGTAATCCCAGCACTTTGGGAGGCCAAGGTGGGTGGATTGCTTGAGGCCAGGAGTTCCAGACCAGACTGGGCAACATGGCGAAACCCTGTTTCTATTTAAAAAAGAAAATTAGCTGGGTGTGGTGGCACATGCCTATGATCTCAGCTACTCAGGAGGCTGAGGTAGGAGAATTATCTGAGCCCAGGAAGTCAAGGGTGCAGTGAGCCATGATTACACCACTGTACTCCGGCCTGGGCAGCAGAGTGAGACCCTGTCTCAAAAAAAAAAAGGCTGAAGTGGCTCATGTCTATAATCTTAGCACTTTGAAAGGCCACGGCGAGCAGCTTACTTGAGGCCAGGAATTCAAGACTAGCCTGGCCACTTCAGAAGTGAAGAAACCCTGCTCTCCCATGATTGGTCAGGCCTCTTGCCAGTATGCCTTGGGCAGTTGTTTGGGCAAGCAGATGATCCCTTCTCTATTCTCTCCTGAAATACTTTATCTCAAAAAAAAAAAAAAAAGCTTATAGAAGGGTAAAAGTCATCCCAACAGAGAATCAGCCCTTCCACCTTCCTCTTATACAGCTCAACTCCTGGGTGAGTTTCTAAGCCCTGCTAAGCCCTTTCTACACTGGTATCTGGGGATTTCCTACCTGTTTAATCTGCATCAATGTGGAGTGGTGATCACCTTCCAGGAAAGGCCTCCTGTCCGCTCCGACAGGCCTGGCAGCTTAGGGTAACTCAGGGCCAGGGCTGGGCTGTGACTGTGACTATAGAAAGGGCCCATGGTCATGCCCATGGCCTGGTGGTGCCCACTGAAGTCAGAGCTGCTGCTGTCCTGTTTACCCTCGGAGCTGAGCACTCCTCCCAGCTGATGGCTCTTGTCGCAGGGCCTCCTCCCCAGTCACGTGGAAAGGGCATTTCTTGGGTTCTTTTCTTCCTGCCTCGCTCTAGCCCTGCACCCTTCACAGGGAGTTGCTTGTACCTCAGGACTTGCCTAGAGAGGCCAGCTTCATTGCATAGGGTCTTTTAAAAATCAATAATGTTGGCCAAGTGCAGTGGCCCATGCCTGTAATCCTGGCCCTTTGGGAGGCCGAGGTGGGCAGATCACGAGATCTGGAGATTGAGACCATTCTGGCTAACGTGAAATTCTGTTTCTACCAAAAATACAAAAAATTAGCCAGGCATAGTGGTGGGCACTTGTAATCCCAGCTACTTGGGATTCTGAGGCAGGAGAATCGCTTGAAACCAGGAGGTGGAGGTTGCAGTGAGCCGAGGTCACGCCACTGCACTCCAGCCTAGGCGACAGAGCAAGACTCTGTCTCAAAAAAGAAAAATCAATAATGTTTTTAGTAAGAACCAGCCTCCTCAGTATGCCACCAGACTCAAGAGATATGCTGCCTTAGTGGTAAGTCTAAATTTCAGATTTTCTTATATCCATGAGTCAATTCTAGAGGATAGTATGGTTCCATCATGCTTTTTTAGAAGCAGCCTATTGCCCCAGCTAGTTCCAACGGGAACTCAGCAACACTGTGTCCTTGGCTACAGCAGGGTTCTGTGGGAAGAGTAGGATAGGAGGGTCCAATAGACCTGTATTCAGATGTATGCTGTGAAGTCAGGTCTTGAACTTCTCAAAGCCTCAGTGTTCTCATCGGACCCCTAAATTCATCTATGCAGTTCTAACCCGCATGTGATGGTATTTGGAGATGGAGCCTTTGGGAGATCATTAGATTTAGATGAGGCCATGAGGTGGGGCCCTCATGCTGGGATTAGCATCCTTATAAGAAGAGACACCAGAGCCCTACCATACAGGCTCCCTGATCTTGGACTTCCAGCCTCTATAACTCTGAGATAATAAATTTCTGTTGGCTCAAGACACCCAGTTTATGGTATTATATTATGGCAGCTCAAGATGACTGAGACAGATGTACCTTTTGAGATTTAATTATTGTGGATGTGAATTCTTGTAAGTGCATGTAAAACATTATTAGTAGTTGACTTTTGAGGGTTACATGAATGTAAAGTGCCTGGTGCTGTTCATGATAAATGCTCAGCAGCTGTGAGCACCTAGCCCTGGTCCCAGATACCAGACACCATTCCTGCTACCCAAATGCGTGGTCCTTTGGTAGGTCAGACACATAAGAGCTACCCTGCATTTTCTAGACAAGCTAACGAATTCCCTTCCAAGGCCAGATAAATAAAACAGATCCCCAAACACTGCCCAAGACCTAGAGTCATCAGTCTGGGGCTGGAGGAAAGCAGGGCTATAGACCCTGTGCCCAAGCGTTAGACATTCACCTGAGTTGCTCCCCATCAGCTGTCATTCTGGATGGCCCATCTATTCATTTAGTAAGCACTTAACTATGTGCCATGCACTCAATAAGCCCCTAAATATGTTTAAACATTGTAACAACTCTTTAATGTAAGTGCAGTGATCATCCCCACTTCACAGTCAAGGAAACTGAGGCCCAGGGAGGTTAAATAACTTGAGTTCAAGTTCACATGGCCAGTGAGTAGAAGCATAGGGTTCTGGCTCCAGAGTAATGGCCAAAGCAAGAGGGAATAATTTTGGGGGTCCTGTGTCCCTTCTTGTACCACAACTAGGATATTTCCTTATAGTAGAATCCATATTGATAACCAAAATAATTCAGTTCCTTATTCCCTTTCTGTGTACTTAAACTAAAGAACAGGAAGTCAGGTTTTCATTTATTCTTTCTTTTTTCCAAGTATCCTTCCATAAGTGTCTACCAGGTACTGGGCCTATGCTTGGGGCTGTAGCGGGAGGAACCACTGGCCGAAGGACCAGTGTACGTCTTCTGCAGCCTACAAATGACTGAGCTTTCCTTTCAATATCGTAATTTATAAAAAGGCTGTTCTCTTTAATGAACAAGAAAAGAAGGCCAAAAGGGGTGATAGTTAACTTGGAGAATGTAAGAGCTAGCCTAGTCCTCTTCCTCAGCTCATAGCCCCCCTGCTTGCTCCCTGAGAAAAAACTTTGGTTTCATACAAGAAATGAAAGGCACTTCCTATTCAACAATGGGAAGTGGGCAAGTCGTGAGCAAAGGTGTGTGCCGGTGCTGAGTGGCCTCCCTTGCAGGCTGGGATGGGGTCTCCGGAGCAGGGGAGATCAGGTGGAGAAGGACTGGGGGCTCTCCCGGTGCTGGATGGACTTGCACAGGAGGGAGGCGAGGTGGTGGCCCGTTCAAGCTGCGGTCACTGGCTCAGTGTTGCCGGGCTCATGATTCTTTCTCTGATTGCCCAGCACTTAAAAAAAATTATTTTTATTTTCGAGATGGGGTCTCCCTCTGCCACCCAGGCTGGAGTGCAGTGGTGTGATCTTGGCTCATTGTAACCTCTGCCTCCCTGGTTCAAGTGATTCTCCTGCCTCAGCCTCCCAAGTAGCTAGGATTACAGGTGTGCGCCACCACACTTGGCTAATTGTATTTTTAGTAGAGATGAGGTTTCATCATGTTGGTCAGGCTGGTTCCCATACTCCTGACCTCAAGTGATCTGGCCACCGTGGTCTCCTAAAGTGCTGGGATTACAGGTGGGTGCCACTGCACCCAGCTAATTTTTTAAATTTTTTTGTAAAGATGTGGTTTTGTTGTGTTGCTCAGGCCGGTCTAACTGCCTGACTCTTGCATCCAACTGCCTGCCCCTCCTCTCCTGGGGCCACTTCAGAAGCATCTCAGCATATCTAAAGCGGAACTCATGACCTTTCCCTGAACTTGACCCTCTTCCTGTGCCCTTAATTCAGGCAATGTACCCAATTATATAAGCCAGAAACCCAGGGTGTACCCCTGGTGATTCCTCTCCCTCACACCCCCATCCAGCCTCTGCCAAGCAGTCTCCACTCTGCTGCATCTCCGCCGTTGCCACGTCCATGCTATGTTGAGGTGACTTGGAGCTCTCCTCTGCACCGTGGCCAGAACTATCAAGAGATGAGTCAGAGACTGCGTGGGAGGCAGGGACAAAACCACGAAGGGCCTTTTGTGCTAAGCTAAAGATCATTTGTGCATCCAGCACTCACTGTGTGTTGGGCACTGTTCTAGAAGCTGGGAATCCAGCCAGGAATAAAATAAACACATCCCTAGGCTTCAGGGAGCTGACATTTTAGGGCTGAAAGACAAACATTAAACACCTATGTAACATCAGGTGGTCATATGTGCTATGGAGAAAATTAAAGCAGAGCAAGAGAAAAAAGAACAGCTGCCATTTTAAATAGGGAGGTTAAGGAAAGTATGTACAACAGGACGTCATCTAAGCAACTGCTGGGAAGACGGAAGGAGGGAGCCAAGTGCCTAAATGGGAGGAGAGAATGTTCCAAAAGGAAGGTCAGCGGTGCATGTGTTCTCAGGCAGGGACATGCTGGCATATTCCAAGAGGTCAGGAGGCTGGTGTGGTTGGCCCCGGGGGTCTGGGAGTAGGAGGAGCAAATGAGGCCAGAGAGGTAAGCCTTGGAGCTGCCAGGTAGGTCCTGTGGGCCAGACGAGGTGGACTATTCATGTGTTGTGAGGTGGGTGGCCTTATCTGACTTGTTTTTAAAGGATCACTGTGTTAAGAATAGATTTAGGGAGGCAAAAGTGGAAGAAGAGAAGCCAGTAGGCGCCAAGAGATGAACTAGGCGGGTGGTAGAGGAAGCCAGAGGTGTCTTCTGTGTTGGGAAGACGGCGTTGACAGTCGCAAATGGATTATGACCTCGGGCTGTTCTCTTGGGAGGCAGTGTGGGAAGTAGGGCACAGACTCCACTGAGGAGCCCCTGGGAGAGCCCAAGGACCCAGAAAACTGGCGGGATTAGAGGCGGCTCTGCTCACTACTGTGTCGGTCCCTTTGCTTTACTTCAGACACAGGGCCCAGATCAGCGGGCATTTCCAAACCTCCTGGCTGCAAGGATTGAGCTGACAGTATCCTCTCTGCTCTGGCCAGGAGTGGGCCTTGCATTTGGGGCATTTCCATGCAGGAGGAGTCGGGGGAAACAAAGTGGCAAAGGTGCCTCTCCAGGGCCTTTGCAGGGACCTTGCTGTGACAACGGCATGCTCCTGGCATTGCTGTTGCTGTAGTTACAGCGTCCTTGGTTCTACTCCTGCAATGAGTCTTTGACTCCCTTATCCTCCCTTCCTTTCAGAATACAAGTCACTTGATGATTGTGAGGAGCTGGTGATCAATGCTACAGCGACAATCAACAATTTATCTTACTACCAAGCAAAGAATTCCATAATTCAAGACAAAAAGCTATATATTGCTGAACGTAAGGTTCAAAGTTGGATTTGGATAAATGAGTGCTCATTTGAGGTTCTGATTTTATTAACTTAACACAGAGCTGGAAACATTACTATCTTCTGCCTTCTGGTACAAAAATGTCTTACAGTCTGATAATTCTAAGAAATTAGAATGTGGGGAAACTAGAAATGGGAACAATTAGTTTCTTAGTTCTTGCTAAAGTCCCTTACAATTTGCATTTTATTATAATTTAAAAACAATCAGTATTGGCCGGGCGCAGTGGCTCACGCCTGTAATCCCAGCACTTTGGGAGGCCGAGGCGGGTGGATCACGAGGTCAAGAGATTGAGACCATCCTGGTCAACATGGTGAAACCCCGTCTCTACTAAAAATACAAAAAATTAGCTGGGCATGGTGGCGTGTGCCTGTAATCCCAGCTACTCAGGAGGCTGAGGCAGGAGAATTGCCTGAACCCAGGAGGCGGAGGTTGTGGTGAGCCGAGATTGCGCCATTGCACTCCAGCCTGGGTAAACAAGACCGAGACTCCGTCTCAAAAAGAAAAAAAAAAAAAAATCAGTATTTATGATGTTGATTCCCATTAACCTTTAAGTTAAAACTTAAATTCACCAATTTACCTAATCTGGTCACCAAATCCAGTGCTCTTAAAGCTTCTTGTCAGTAACAACATGGATGGAATCCTGGAGGCTGTGCGTGTTTTTGGAAATCTCTCCAAGGACCGTGATGTCTGCGATTTCATTGTGCAGAACAATGGTGAGTTAATGACACTAGAATTCATAATCAACCGGGTAGTTTTGGAAATTGAGTCATTATAGTGTTAGCCTTGTTTCTGCTTTGAGATTTGTAGAGCTACGTGTTTAAGGCTCCTGGCTCAGGATGCCAAGACGGACCTAGGCAGTGTTCCCCTCTCCCTTGTGAATGGCCTTCTGTGTTCCAAGATGGGGTGTGTGTATGTTTCATAGAATCAGTGAAGCTTGAGCCATCACTTCTGTCCAGGGGCTCAAGAAGACAATACATAGAATCAAGAAGACATTCTCTTTTATGTACTAGAATGTCTATTACATTTTACTTATAATAGCAAAAGGTAGAAACAACCTGAATGTCCCTCAAAAGACAGGAGGACAAATTCATTAAATTCATTATGGTATATTCATGCGATAAAATGTTCTCTAGCATGTGAAAGCAATAGGAGGATGTACACAGAGGAATCCCATGAACATAAGTTTTGAAACATACAAAACTATCTTGGGTATTGCTTCTGCACTGGTATTCATGTAGTAATGGCATACAGTACAAAGAGTAATTGGAAATAGCTCCAATTAAGACAGAGTTCAGGCTGGGAGCAGTGGCTCAAGCCTATAATATCAGTACTTTGGGAGACTAAGGTGGAAGGATTGCTTGAGGGCATGAGTTTGAGATCAACCTGGATAATCTAACGAGACCCTGTCTCTACAAAAATTAAAATTAGCCAGATGTGGTGGCATATGCCTGTAGTCCCAGCTACTTGGAAGGCTGAGGCAGGAGGATCACTTGAGCCCAGAAGTTTGAGGCTGCAGTGAACCATGATCGTGCCACTGCACTCCAGCCTGGAAGACAGAGCGAGACCCTATCTCTAAAAAAAATTTTTTTTAATTTTAAAAAGGACAGAGTTCACCTTTGGAGGGAAAGGGATATCCAAAGACTATAATTGTATCTATAATGTTACTTATCATCAACAAATAAGAATTTTTTGAGATGGAATTTCACCCTTGTTGCCCACGATCTCAGCTCATCACAACCTCTGCCTCCCCGGTTCAAGCGATTCTCCTGCCTCAGCAGGGATTACAGACATGTGCCACCACACCCGGCTAATTTTGTATTTTTAATAGAGACGGGGTTTCTCCATGTTGGTCAGGCTGGTCTCAAACTCCCGACCTCAGCTGATCAACTAGCCTCAGCCTCCCAAAGTGCTGGGATTATAGGTATGAGCCACAGCACCTGGCCAGAATTGTATATATTTACTATATACACTACATGCTGTTTGGAATGTAATGTTTTATTTCTTAAACTGTGGCAGGTACCCAAATGTTCATACCCTTTGAATGTCTCAGATATTTTTATATGTCTCAAATATTAGTATACCTTTACTCTTTATATATCTCAAATATTTAACGTAAGAATAATTTAAAAAATGTAACTCACCATGTTCATAATGGAAAATTTCAATAATACAGATGTAAAAAGCAGCAGCAGCAAACATCCCCCATTCTCTCACTACCTGCAGATAACTGCACGTTTGGCTATGCACTCTTCAGCCTCTTTTTTTTTAGAAAATGAGGGAACTGGGGGTGGAAATAGAAAAGGAAGCAGGGCAGATGGTAGAGTAGCTTTTGCAGTGAAGCTACTGGCAAGAAACAGGAAGCTGAGGGAAAATGGACCCCAAATCCTACAATGCCACTTTATATCTGTAAAAAGACAGAAAGCTAAATCTTATAAGAATTCTAAGTCATACAGGCGTTAAGTTTTTGAGTGGAGAATCAATCAAAGAAAATAAAAACAAAAGCTCTTTTACGTTCAAAACATCTTTAACAAACAGAAGAAATCAAGAAGGATTTTTTTTTAAAGAAAAGAAAAAAAAAAGAATGAAAGAGAGAAAGAAAGAGGAAGAGAAAGAGGGAGAGAGAATGGGAATCTTGCTCTATTGCCCAGGCTAGAATGCAGCCTAAAAATGGGTATTAAAAACCCATATATGCCAATAAATGTGCTTAACAGTGAAGACAGGAAGGAATAAGGGAGGAAAATAACGAACAAGCAGCCAACCAATATTTCATTTAAACCTGTGAAATGCTATGCAATTGCTGAGGAGTGATTCACTTCCAATTATGTGGTCACTTTTAGAGTAGGTGTGATGTGATACTGAGAAAAATGTATGTTTTGTGGATTTGGGGTGGAGAGTTCTGTAAATGTTTATTAAGTTTACTTATTTCAGGTCTGAGTTCAAGTCCTGGATATCCTTGTTAATTTCTGTCTCGTTGATCTGTCTAATATTGACAGTGGAGTGTTAAAGTCTCCCACTATTATTGTGTGGGAGTCTAAGTCTCTTTGTAAGTCATTAAGAACTTGCCTTATATATCTGGGTGCTCCTGTATTGGGTCCATATATATTTAGGATCGTTAGCTCTTCTTGTTGCATCGATCCTTTTACCATTATGTAATGTTCTTCTTTGTCTCTTTTGGTCTTTGTTGCTTTAAAGTCTATTTTATTAGAGACAAGAACTGCAACTCCTGCTTTTTTTTTTTTTCTCTCCATTTGGTTGGTAAATCTTCCTCCATCCCTTTGTTTTGAGTCTTTGTGTATCCTTGCATGTGAGATGGGTCTGGATGCAGCATACCAATGGGTTTTGGCTTTTTATCCAATTTTCCTGTTTGTGTCTTTGATTGGGGCATTTAGTCCATTTAAATTTGGGATTGATATTGATATATATGAGTTTAACACTGCCATTTAATGCTAGCTGGCTGTTTTGCCCATTAGTTGATGTAAATTCTTCATTATGGTGGTGCTCTTTACCTTTTGGTAAGTTTTTGGAATGGCTGCTACTAGTTGTTCCTTTCTATGTGTAATGCTTCTTTCAGAAGCTCTTGTAAAGCAGGCCTGGTGGTGATGAAATCTCTGAGTACTTGCTTGTTCTCAAAAAAATTTATTTTTCCTTCACTTATGAAGCTTGGTTTGGCTGGATAAGAAATTCTGGGTTGAAAGTTCTTTTCTTTAAGGATGTTGAATACTGGCCCCTACTCTGTTCTGGCTTGTAGGGTTTCTGCTGAGAGATCTGCTGTGAGTCTGATGGGCTTCCCTTTGTGGGTAACCTGACCTTTCTCTCTGGCTGCCCTTAGTATTTTCTCCTTCATTTCAACCTTTTTTTTTTTTTTTTTTTTTGTTACAATGAGTTTATTGGAGAGTTTATTAGCCTCTTAAGAGCACATATGTATGTGATGCTGCCTCTGCCCAACCCAGTCAACAGGGCTGGGACTAGAACAGGGCAGCCCCTCTCAGGTGCACAGACCTGGGAGGAGGCAGAGCACACACTTTACTCAGTCTTCCCAAACGCTTTGCTCAGCCTCTGCTGAGGGATAAGAAAATAGGACAAATATTTCCAAGTTCCATTTCCCAGGAGTAAGGGAAACCGATTCCCCTGAAGTGGGAACCTGTCTTGCCCTGAGATGTCCCTACACTGGAAGGCCTGCCTTGCCACAGGTTGGTTTTCAGCAGTCTGAGTGGCCCTGGGAGACTTCAGGAATGATCCCACCAGGAGCCATCGCCCCTCTCCAGGGCTGTGTATTTAGAGAAAGTTGCTGCTGGAGGTTCAGGAAAACCCTTGAGAACAACCAGAAGTTAGATGAGTGTCACCTGTGTTCCCTCCTTTCTGCCAGCAGGGGCTCTTTCACTGCTGTGGAGAAGCAGCTGCTGCCTGGGGCAGGTTTTGCAGTATCTGGGGGTTGGGGGAGCCGTCTCTGGGAGTGGTGGGTATTGGGGAACCCACTGCTGGGTGATGGATAAAGCTGTAGGAAGAATGAGGTAAGTCCCTTAACAGGGGTTTTGGGTTTGCAAATCACTCACCCTTTCACCTGTACCATTTGTAAAACAAGAGACTGCTGGGAACCCTGTGCTTTTACTGGTCTGCGTTTGCTCTCTTCCCTCGTAGTACACAAGTTCATGATGGCGCTGCTGGATGCTCAGCATCAGGATATCTGCTTTTCTGCCTGTGGTGTTCTCCTTAATCTCACTGTGGATAAAGACAAGCGTGTCATCCTCAAAGAAGGAGGTGGCATTAAAAAGTAAGTTTCAAGATGTAGAGTACAACTGCCTCAGGATTTGAAGGACATCGTTTTCTCGGGAGCTTTGGCTCTCATCATTCCTGTGGGGCAAAGGTGTTTCAACATTGGGAAGCCCCTAAGCTGAGGCTAAAGAGGGGGTTTAGATTCCACTGGACACTTTAAATAGTGCAGAAGTAGGCCGGGAGCAGTGGCTCACACCTGTAATTCCAACCCTTTGGGAGGCCAAGGTGGGTGGATCACTTGAGGCCAGGAGTTCAAGAGCAGCCTGGCCAACATGGTGAAACCCTGTCTCTACTAAAAAGACAAGAATTAGGACACAGGGAGGGGAGCACTACACACTGGGGTCTGTTGGGGGGAATAGGGGAGGGACAGCGGGGGGTGGGAAGTTGGGGAGAGAGAGCATGGGGAGAAATGCCAGATATAGGTGAAGGGGAGGAAGGCAGCAAATCACACTGCCACGTGTGTACCTATGCAACTATCTTGCATGTTCTTCACATGTACCCCAAAACCTAAAATGCAATTAAAAAAAAAGACAAGAATTAGTTGGGTGTGGTGGTGCATGCCTGTAATCTTAGCTACTCAGGAGGCTGAGGAGGAGAATTGCTTGAATCTGGGAGGCAGAGATTATAGTGAGCCAAGATCGTGCCACTTCAGCCTGGGCAACAGAGTGAAACTGTCTCAAAAAAAAAAAAAAGTGCAGAAGTAGATTATTGCTACTTTGTAGACACTTAAATTTATAGATAAGTTATCTTAAGTGATCTCGATTATACATAATGCATGTTACATGTCACAGAAGGATAATCATTATGCTAATAATATTAAAATTAAAGACAGATTCTGACCTAATAACTTATCAGTTTGAATTTTATTAATGCAGGTTGGTGGATTGTTTAAGAGATTTTGGTCCTACGGATTGGCAGCTGGCCTGCTTGGTTTGTAAAACTTTATGGAACTTCAGTGAAAACATCACTAATGCTTCGTCATGTTTTGGAAATGACACCAACACACTCTTATTCCTGCTGTCATCATTTTTAGGTAAGACTTGACTATGATGAATCTGAGTTTTATCAGTGTGAGGTAATTTTTTTCTGTGACCTGTTTGGATAACTAGTAGTATGCATTTGGGTGACTCTATTTCTAAAGCAGTAAGAGTATGTTAAAGATTATTATAATTTGGAACTATCTGAAGAGGCTGAATGTTACTTACAATGGGGACAGAAGGACTTTCAACTCATTAGATACAATCATGATTTCCTCTATGGCTTTTTTTTTGCATTTTCTCTAGAGGGCATAAATATAAGAGCTCAGCATAAATGTATTTTTGTTGTTCACAAGGATATAGACACTGTTATAATTGAGAAAATAGGGCTAAAAGCAACTCAATTAAGTCATGCTTTTAAATGAAGCTGTACATTTTAATTAGCTACATTAATTATCATGTGGTTGAGGGCCTGTGAGACTATTTGGCATTACAATGGCGTTTATATCCTTGAAAGGTAGGAAATCACCAATACAAATCCAAGGGAAGAAGATTGTTTTTTTCTTTTCTTGAGATAGGGTCTTGCTCTTTCACCCAGGGTGGAATGCAGTGGCATGATCACTGCCCACTGCAGCCCTGAACTCCTGGGCTCAATCAATCCTCCTGCCTCTGCCTCTCTAGCTGGCACTACAGACACGTACTCTATGTTACCCAGGCTAGTGTCAAACTGGACTCAAGTAGTCCTCCCACCTGAGCCTCCCAAAATGCTGGGATTACTGGTGTGAACCACCTTGGCTGACCAGGATCATTTTTTACATTTAGAAAATTTTATAATTTTAGGAGAACTTTTTTCATCCTGAGTTAATTCTAAAAACAATGATTTGGGTCAGCAAATGAGTGTTTTTAATAATCCTTTTTCCCAAAGAGACGAGATGTACCCATTACTGCCCGGCCACTGTACTTGATCCAGGAGGCCATGTGCAAAGGCTCAGGGTCACTCAGAAGCCATAGATGCTGAGTTTTTAAATCTTGAGCTCAACTTCTCTGCAACCTGAGAAAGTTTAATAGACACCTTTCCTTTACACTCCTTCACTAACCAGAGCAGAGGCTCCCAATCCTGGCTGCATATCAGACTCACTTGTGGAACTTTTAAAAACACAGATTCTTAGCCACTCTGAAATTATATTCTATCATCTCCAAGATGAGGATAATTGATGTCCACCCTGCGGGGTTGTTGGGTGATAAATGAGCAGATTATGAACCTAACACAGTGCCTGCCACATAGCAAGTCCTCAGAAGGTGGCTGACGTGCTTTGGAAACTCTTCAGTGTTGTAACGCTATGCCATTAAACAGGAACTGGAACTCAGGAGTTATTTGAAAGAATTGGGTTTGCTAGGTTGATGTGAAATTTGTTTTCTTCCAGGTAAATATAATTTTGTATATTTGTCTTAAAACATGAGAAAAAAAATGAGCATGTGTTTTAAATCACTGAGGTTCCGAGTCGGCTCCGTGAGCCTTCAGCTGTCTCAGGTTGCAGGGAGCAGAAGTGCACGTTCAGGCTGCCGTCAATCCATTCTAATGGTGGTAAAGCATTCAAATCAGCTGTGCTGATTGAATTAAAAACCCAAAAAACCCAAACACCTTCCTGGCCCCACCCCTAGGAATTCTGATTCAGAAGCTCTGGGACGAGGCTGAGAACCTGTGTTAAAAGTTCCACAGGTGAGTCTGATATTAGCTAGGCTCCAGAGCCTCTGCTCTTGTTAGCAAAGGAGTTTAAGGGAAGAGCGTACACAGAAGAAAGAAGCCAGGAAACAAGATACTGCTCAAAGCCTCCCAGAGAGCCAGGCAGGAGCCAGAGCCCCAAGTGACCCCTCATCAGGCAGCGTCCTGAGCTCCCCTGGGCACCACCATTCTGGAGACCCAGTTGTGCTGTGTCTGCTGTTAGGGAAAGAATTCTCGCCCCACTTACTCCCTGGAGGCTCTTTCTAGATCATGGCTGCAGCTACCTCCAGGCTTCTACTTGCTGCCCCCCCCCCCATGTGTCTGTGTCTGTGTTGCTGGTGCGCCTTCCTATGCCACCCACTTGGGGAAAATACGATTGGCTCAGTGAGTCACTGTCCTGTGGCATAGGGCTTTCCTGTGTAGGCAGCAGCTACCTGGTGACAGGCTATCTGTGGTTTTCTTTGTTACCCAAGTCTGGGGCAATCAGCCATAAATAACAAGGATGATGAGGCTATGGGGCCAGAGATGGATGAGAAGGAGGCGTGGGCACAGCTGGCTTCTCAGCAGGGGCAATGTACCTGGAAGGCACTTGGTTTTAGTGGGCCCTGCTGCCTGTTAGAGTCACCCCTTGGTATCTAGGGGGATTGGTTTCAGAGCCTCCCTCGGATACCACACGGATGCCTAAGTGCCTGACATAAGATGGCATAGAATTGGCATTTCACCTACACATATCTTCCTGCACACATGAAACCATCTGTAGACTATTTACAATACCTGCAGTGTGAACACTATGTACATGGTTGTCACACTGGGTTTTTAATTTGCATCTTTTTGTTGTTGTCATTTTAAATATTCTCTTTCTGTGATCAGTTGAAGCTGTGGGCGCAGGAGCCATGGATGTGAAGGGCTGACTGCGCTCCATTCCCAACTTTTCCATAGCCAAGTGGGGCTTCTGGTCATGCTTCTCCCGCCTTTGTGCCTTTGCACATGTTCGGTTTCATTTCCTACCTGCCCATCGCAATCTGCCTATCCCAAGTGCAGGCCCTTCCCATGTAGCTTCTGAAGCCCACAGTCATAGGCTAGTCATAAGAAATATATACTACTTAAGTAGTAATCAATCACACATTGTGTAACTTGTCCTGTAATTATCCCGTGTTATTATTTTGAGAGTTTTATCTTATTTCCCCATTCCAACTGAACCACCTTAGGAAAAGGATATTGCCTCATACAAAGAAGGTACTTGATAGCTGCATGTGGATTGGCTAACAATGGCGGCACCTTTGTTTCAATAGTGCTATATCCTTATAAAAGTGTGTTTATTCTATTTTTGAAAGATGTCTCTAAAGCCGTCATCTAGGTGACAGGTAAGGAAAGTAGGTCTAGGACAGTTAAGTGGCTTGCCTCAAGTCCTATTGTAGCAAAGGCAGGACTTCTCATCCAAAAACAAACACGTAGCCCTGTGTTTTTCAGCTGCTCCGTTAGCTGGAACAGCCTACTCCACCCACCCTCTGGAAGGGGGCTGTGGAATGGATAACAGCAAATAAACACAGGGAGCCAAGCCACTGTACAGAGCACCCCAGGTTCTCACGTGGTCGAGGGCTCCTCTTCAGGAACCATGGGGACTGGGCTGCCTCCTGGCTTTTCTCTTGGCAGTGGGCACACAGACCCTGAATTCTGACAGGGTTGTGGCTGTGTCTGGGCAGTGGGACTGCTGCAAGTGAAGTGGGCACGTGGGTAAGAGTGTACTTGCATTTCAATTCTTTTACAAAGGTAGCTTAAAAAAACAGGCCATTTTGGAAACAGGAGGAGCCGTTAAATTACCAAGGCCCATGTTGAAGTATGAGCACTGTTTTTGGAAATACTGGTAGGGCAATTTCTGTAGTAATGCAAGTTACCTAACTTTTTCTTGCTGAGTGACTAGAAAAAGGAGGAAAAGTAATATATCTTCAACATTGTTGGAATGTTGACAGCCCTTCTGGAAAGTGGCTTTAAAAGAATGTGGTCTGGCCTTGCCATGAAAGTGCCTGTGCAACAGTCTTGCATGATCTGCACATGTACCCGGAATCTAGAGTACAGTTAATAATGATAAAGAAAAGAAGGCCGGGCGCGGTGACTCAAGCCTGTAATCCCAGCACTTTGGGAGGCCGAGGCGGGTGGATCACGAGGTCAAAAGATTGAGACCATCCTGATCAACATGGTGAAACCCTGTCTCTACTAAAAATACAAAAAATTAGCTGGGCACGGTGGCGCATGCCTGTAATCCCAGCTACTCAGGAGGCTGAGGCAGGAGAATTGCCTGAACCCAGGAGGTGGAGGTTGCGGTGAGCCGAGATCGTGCCATTGCGCTCCAGCCTGGGTAACAAGAGCGAAACTCCGTCTCAAAAAAAAAAAAAAAAAGAAAAGAATGCAGGATGCCTCAGAAAACCCATCCACAATGCTCAGCGTGACCTTGTTGTCCCCCTTTGGCATTCTCACAGTATCATGTATCGATTCTTCTTTAATGAATTATTATTCTCTACTGGTCCCTGTTTATATGTCCCCTTCAGAAGTGCTTGAGATCTTTCAGAATAAAAATGTTGTTCAATTTACTTAAAAAGAAAAAAGAATGTGGTCTGAAACTTCCCATGATACTGCAGTCATGGTTTATGAACTCATATGCAGCATGTTGATGCTGAAGTTCTTAGTGGCGTGCTCAGCACTCCAGTCTACAGGGAGCCCTGCTATGGACAGCTGGCACCTGATGACCACGTATGCAGTTTATTGTTGCAAATGGGAAGCACACTAGGCTGTTATATGTTCATCATAAGTTATGGGGCAGTGGGCACTTAGGTTTGGTGACAAGGGTAGAGTGGGGCCCCATGTTCAAGTTGGAGGATCACATCATCCAACCTATGCTGAAGAGCTATCAGGTGCTTCTAGAACATTTGACAACTTTGCCTGATAAGAGAATGGTCAGGGCGATGATAATTCCCTTAAACAGCCACCTGGTGCTGAACAGCTAGCTAGGAAATAGTGTGGTGAATAAGGGAAGCTTTTACAGATGCTACAGGACACAAACTTACAATGATGACTGTGTTATAATGATAACACAATGGATAAATGTATAGTTTTGAGTCTTTTAATCCTTTGTAATACTTTGCCCCAAATTTTAGTAATTGGAGGTATGCTGTGCCTAAAGAAAGCTTGAGCACGGTTGGTTATCTAAATGAGCACTTTTTACACTGCAGGTTATGAAATCTATTTAGTTGGTTGTGACCAGCATCTTTTAAAAATTAAGTAGCAAAGAAAATATCAGAATATATTATATATAGTAAGGACAAGTATTCTAATGTG